TTGTGTGTGTGTGTGTGTGTGTGTGTGTGTGTGTGTGTGTGTGCTGGGGAGGAGCCTCACAACTTAAAGGACTTTTGAATTGAGTCCTTTGGCAAGCCAAAGCATCCTTTTGTTGTTTTAATGGTCATTCTTTTGGTGTTACTGTGCTGCGAATGTGAGTTTTTGTATGGCAAGTTTTCTATAGCAAGGAGAGAAAAAGGAGGTAGGGGGTTACACCTGCACTAAATGGGGAGCTTGTAAGGTGACTGTTGTGATCAGTTCCCAACTTGTTCTGCCTGATCAAGCACAGTGGGCAAAGATCTGATCACAAAAGCATTCCAGAGTCCAAGCAAAGCAAAAATGTTCACTAAACTCACTACTGGCATGAAAACTGCTGGGAACCATCCCTTCATAGTCAAAGAAGCATGTTCTTCTAAAGAGAGAAGGCAGGGCAGGCAGGATCCAGGGGTATCATCTGCAAATATTTCTCAAGAAGCTCTCAAGTCAATATTCTGAAATTCGCTCTAAGATTCACTAAGTTTTGCTCTTACAGTCCTTCTCTTCCTTCAGAAAATTAGGCCTTGAAACTCCCCTGCTGCTCACTGCTCAGGGTGGGCTGCCCCTGGAGTCCTGTCTCCTTCCTCCAGCCTTGTTGTCTTACTCTACTTGATTTCCCAGAAGACACATCGATTAAATGTTTTAAATGCTTTTTAAACCTTTGAAACATATTCATATCCATAATCAAGATGCCACTACACCCTTTAGAGAGGAGGGGTGCAGGTACAAGAAGAAAATGAAACACAACAAAAGTGACTTGCCTTTCCCTACCAGTGACAGAGAAAAGAGACTCTCATGGTTTCTCACATTTTATCCTGTATAAAAACAAAAACAGATCAACACAAAAACACTCTCCAGAGCAAATATTGGCTTTTAGTCACCTGGGCTTTGTGATTATCTAAGCACCCTCTCGTCATTCAGGTGGCAAGTGAGACTTAACATTTTGGGCAAATCACAGTAAACAATGACTGTTTCTTTAGAAAGTAACTATGGTTAATAGTTGGCTTGTTAACTGCTAAACTTTCTGCGCTCTCATTCAACCCCTGCAACTTAGATTGCGCACTCGTAGAAAAGCAGCTTTAGCTGCAGGCTTGAAAATTAGTTGATGGAACTCTAGTTTCAAAAGGACTTAGGGAAAGGAAAAGCAGCCTCACGCTGTGGGGCTTTAAGTTTCAACTGCTCCTAAGAAATAAATCCAACGCTTAACAATTGGCTCTGTCAGATAAATTAATGGGTTAAATAAAAGTTTACGTTTTCACAAAGACCAAAAAGGTACCATGTGAAAAATGAAAACTGAATTCTACTCTCCAATAACACCAGTAAATCTGAACTATCATCTCACTTATCGCTAACATCGTAGCAAGTAGCGCATCAACTCACTCATTAGGCAATTTCCATTAACTTCCGAAATTTTAATTATAAATTCACCAACCTCTTTTCGGAGAGCGGTCACTTCTTGTAGTCGCGTCTGGCAAAGTCCATTCTCACGTAAATATCGTCGCCATCATCCTCGTCGTCCTCGGAATCAGCTCTCTCTGGGGGTCTCAGCACTCTTCGCTGGCGAGGTGGCAGTGGGGGAGCGGCAGCGCCGGCCGCCAGATCCTCTCCTCCGGCAGCTTGGT